GCGTCTATGGAGTCTTAGCATTAGAAAACTTTTGCTGGGGCTACGTCGGAGGTAACGACCGTGGCGCGAAATCAACATGCCGCGAGGGGACTTAGGCCGGTATTCATAGTCGGTTCTTATTTTAAGACCGGCTTAAGTAATGTCTTAAGATGCTAATACGGCTTTGTGATTGGTTAATGACATCTTAAGATTGTACTTAAGACGATCTTAAATATAAGAACCGACTATGAATCGGCCTTAGAAAATTTTTGCTCGGGCGAGCGCTAGTAACATGTGCTGCCGCGACGCGGTTCCATGCGCCAGTACCTTCTTGTAAGCAAAAATCCTTACGCACTAGGATAAAAGGCGAACCTGTGAGATACTTGGCTCTAATATTTTTCGTGATACCTCCGAGATATCATACAGTGCAGAGATGGCAAAATGCAAAATATTGGAATAGTATCGAAGCATAATTTTGAATTTATTGCGAATTCTTATGAAAAGAACTTCTTTTATATTTGAAGGACTCAGAATTGGTGACATAAAAATAAATTTCTTATGAACGCTTAAGAATCATTTTAGAAGAGAGAATAAATACGGAAAAAGAATTAATTTCTTAATCGAAAGTTAAAAAAAAAATTCTTTTCTTCTTGCTATTTGGGTTGTATGTAACATATCTGCTTTTAAATGAGGCATAGATATCCGACATACATGCAGAATCAGATATCATATCTGAGATAAAATTATCGTGGCTTTTTATAATCTTGGAGATGTCTGAGATATTCTCATGATATCTTGCGCAATCAGATATTCCGTCCTTCAGATATCTTCTAGATATTTTGGTGATATATTTTGCTGTGTGGGTAATAAGTGGAACATATATAGAGATAGTAAAATATAAAAATATGACATAAATGAATAAAACAGATAAATATGCAAAAATATATTGAGTAAAATCTGTTTATTATTGAATTCTTTAATTTAAATCAAAATAATCTTATTAAAATTAATTATTAGCGATTTATGAGACCTAGACATTAAATTATTGGAAATTATATAACAAAAATCTCGAATTGTTTTAAATATTATATATGTAAAACCGAGAAATATTTTTAAGTCGAGAAAGGACAGAAAGTGTCGTTCGTAATAAATGTGTGTGTGTGTGTGTGTGTGTGTGTGTGTGTGTGTGTGTGTGTGT